ATCATTACTTAAGTCAACTTTTCAGGATTAGAAGTTAATGCGAATAAGAATTCCTCCACCTTCTCGAAAGTATACGAAGAAGACTAATCTTTGCATGATGTTTTAAGATATACTGTTAAAAATTTACCTATATCATATCTATGAGACTGTGACAATCAATCACCGGGAAAAAAAATCATTTGAACAATGCTGAAAATTAATCCAATCAATAAAGCGCTTTTAGCAAGATGGAGTGGAAAATATCTTTCCTATGGAAGGTGAATATAATTAGTTAATTGGATAATAGTCGAAAAATATACCTATTAGGCACAAGATATGGTTATATTTGATTCTGCGGCTAAGAAAGTGAAAAAATTAGCCTATAAATTTATATGGGATGAAAGGAAAGGAATCTCATGGACCCAAATGATCCTTCCTAAAGCAGAAGGGGGTCTAGGGATTAGAGACCTGCCTATTATCACTACTGCAACTAATATTAAAAGAGTATCAAAGTACTTGGATAAAAGTGATTCTATTTTTGTAAAATGGATCCAGGATAATTATATTAAGGGAAAAATATTTAATGATATTTAAATCAGACATACTGTGAATTCGCATTTCTGAAAAACTTTTATCTCAAAAAGGAATCTAGTGGATAAATGTTTGGATTGTAGGGTTGATCAATAATACGATTATGTGGAGATCTGGTACTCCGATAAGCAAGTTGGAGAGAGTGGTAGAAAGTATTAGAGATAGAAAGCATAAAGGCATGTTAGCTAAGAGAATTTGGTTGGAGATGTCGACAAAATTTAATATTCTTTTGTCAGAGGTGAAATGAGATTATCTAAACACGTTCAGAAAATTAAGTTGAAAAGTGCAAATACCTCATGTGTTGCTTATTATGCAATTTGAAAGATGAATCTAGAAGTCAAAGTTTTTTCAACTGCTATTATTTCAGATCTTTCTTAATTTCGCTGGCTGAACACCTGAATTTTGTCTTTTGAAAAATAATAAATATTTCAGTTTTCACTCCATTCAGACATTAAATTGGGAATCTGACGGAAGATGCGCAAAAAATTATACACCACTCTCCTCCTTGAGAGTTATTATGAAATGTCATTAGGTGTCTATCGTGGCATATATAGACATAAAAAAATAAAAGATGCAAACAACATGCTGGTGGCCTTGAGATAACCAAACTATGATATTGACATCATTGAATTTTATAATTTTTGTCAGGATTATGTGGTGATGATTGACATGTGGACATGTGGTACATAATTTGAGTTAAAAAATCATTACTTAAGTCAACTTTTCATAACAATAATTCCTCCACTGTCTCGAAAGTATGCGTGGAAGACTAACTAGCCTAATAAAATTGTATATGTAATAACAGTCTAATTTTTATTTTATTGTTATACAAAAAAAATCAGGTGAGAAGGCCTTTTCATTTTCTGACAATGAGAAGGCATCTCAACCTTCCAAAATCGTCAAATACATCCAGATCCCTACAACCGGTGAAAAATATTTCTTATTACGTGTAGTTTTTTTTTTAAAATTTTTATTCATCTTTCTCTCTCCCTCATATCTTCTTTTTTTCATTTTCTTTTTTTTACTTCTTGTTGTTTTTGTCACAATCTTTTCATCATTAAATGTTTTTGACATTAATCATCCCTCTTCTTTTACCTTTACATCTATATCGTCCTTTCATTGGTATTTGCTTTATCGATGCTTATACGTCAGTAAAATAATGCTTCTTTTATAATTGTTAATGCTCAATTTTTGAAAATATATCAAATTGTATAATAGTTTTATCTTTTTATCTTAGCTCTTCTTTCATTTCATTCTTTATTCATCTTCCACCTTCTTCCCATCTTAAGTTATTCATAGAGCACTTCATCTTCATCTCATTTTCCTCCCCTCAATCTAGGCTACTTTTCTTCGTTTTTTGTCTACAATATTTCTTTTTTGATTTTTTCTATTCATAACATCAAGGTATGTCTCAAAATTTATTAAATGTTATTGATCAATCATCACCTTTATCACAAAATATCATTCAACCCCAAAACACCATTCACTTCTCTCTTAATTCTTCCTCAATATATATCACCCCACCCCCATATCGTCTTGTTCATGCTCAACCATTGAATCCTCCGATAGAACGTACCAGACCCCCTTGTAATGTGAGTCTTGATTTTTATTCTATCCAACCTGAAAAAACTTTTGATTATATTCTCCAATGTTGTCATGGATTATCATTGCTCATTGGACGTGATTGTAATGCTGAATATTCAAAAAATGATGATTTGTCTGTCAGTCTCAATGCTACTTATCACACAATCAATGGTCTTCATCATTGTCACGAAACTCCAGAAGGCATTCTTCAGACTCTTAATTCTTCTAAGAATAATGATGTAATCGTAATCTCTAATGCTATTAATTGTACCGACAATGTTTCACCTAATTTTTTCATTTCCAAACCAACCACCAATACCAATGCTTGTTCAGAAGATCGTAATGTGAAGTCACCACCCTATGTTGGCCAACTTTTTTCTTCATATTCATAAATTGTTGATACATATTATGGTTATGCGTCGCAAATTGGTTTTTCTGTTCATTTGGATTCTACCGACACTACTACTAGTAAGGATGATGGAAAGAAGTAATTAGTATAATCTGTCTTAATAATAAACAGATAGACTAATATGTAAATAAATTTAACTTTGAATGTATGCAGGTTTCTCAAAGAAAACGAAATAAATAGTATAGGGGCGAAGCTGCAGTTGTGCCACTTAAATAGTACGAGGACGAAGCTGCAATTGTGCCACTTAAATATCACGAGCGGGCCAAAGAAATAAAGGACTTGGGCCGTCTTCAATAATAAGTCCAGTAGCAAAGAAATTAAAGAAAAGTAGTTAATCAGTTGATATTAGTATTAGCTAATAGTCAGTTAAACTGTTAACCTTTGTCTTAATCTTTGTTAAATATTGGTATGTAATTACTCAAAAGTATTCAATTCAATTACATGCTAATTACACGAGATTACTGTTAATTACACTTCTACAGTAATAACGTATTGAAAGAGTTAGGCTATGCGAATAACCCTAAACTCTTCCCTCTTCTTTTGATTTCTCACCGTCCGACGAGCTCCGACTCCCAAACTTCGCACATTTCTCCCCAAAGTTGCCGTCTGAGATCGACCCACGTTTTAACATGGTATCTGCTGGAAAATCCGACCATGCTTCCGCAAGTAAAGATGATGAAGAATTTACTGGTTCTCCAGACAGGGACGATCAATCGCAGTCAAGCTCTGCGCCCTCTTCTCCCCCGTCAATCATGCAATCTCCACCTCGTAAAATTCATTCTTCCTCCAAACACCAGCGCAAATCTCATCACAAGTGTCACCGCTCCAAGTCCAAAAGATCATATGCCTATGTCTCTGCAATAAATGACAGAGAATCAGTTTACTATCTAAACTCATGCGACCACCTAGGAGCACTCATGGTTGCAGACAAGTTGAAAGGTGAATAGAATTATGCAAGCTGGGCCAATGCGATGAAACTGTCATTGCTTTCCAGGAGGAAAATCGCATTTGTGAATGGAAAAATAAAGAAGCCAGAGGACAAGTCAGGGAAAGAATTCGAGGCTTGGGAGACTGTAAACAGGTTAGTGCTATCATGGATAGTTAACAGCGTGATCCTCAGATCTCATCCACGCTAATACACACTGAAAAAGCAAGCATAGCATGGAAGGATCTTCAAGAAAGGTATAACCAAGGAAATGCACCCAAGGTTAACCAAATCAGGTATGAATTAAATAACTTGCATCAAGGTAATGATAGTGTTACAACTTTTTATGATAAATTCAAAGTTTTATGGAATCAAAAGATAGAGCTAGAAGATGTAGATTTTTGTAACACATGCACCCCCAAGTACAATGATAAAATGGAAAAGGATAAAATCCATCAGTTCCAACTAGGACTGAATGAGGATTTTAAAACAATAAGAGGGCAGATACTCTTTTATGATGAACTACCAAACATGAACAAGTTATTTTACCTAATCATTCAAGAAGAAAAATAGAAGACAAATTTTAGAGATAAGGATGATAAGTTCAGCATAGAGTTTTCTGCCTTGTTTGCCAAAAAGTCTAATGAAAAAGAAGAAGAAAAAGGGCTCTATAGTAAGAGTGAAAAGAAGTTGGGCACCTCCAAATACTGTGATAACTTCAAGTATTATGGGCATACTAGGAAGGACTGTTTTCACATTGTAGGGTTCTCTAGTGACAAAAATAAAGAAAATACCAAGAAAGGAAACAGGTTTAAAAAGGTTAAAACTGAATCAGCCAATTAAGTTTCCTCCTCAACATCTGTCGTACTAAGGATGTCCAATGAAGAGCTGCTCATGCTCAAAGATTTCTTCCAATCAAATGGTATGAAATACTCTTTTAATATTTTAAATTTTAAAATAAACCATTTATATAATGTGATAGATCTCAAAACAGAATAGATCATAGATATTGGAGCTTCCCAACACATGACTGGAAATCTTCAGTATTTTGATAAACCACCAACAGAAAATAGTACATTTTGTCACCATTCCAAGTGGCGAGATATGTAGAACCAAATCCACAAGAAGGATAACACTTTCCAAAAATATAATTCTAGAGGATGTCCTATATATACCACAATTCAAAGTGAATTTAATATCAGTAAGCAACCTAACTCTAGACAACAATCTAAAAATATTATTTGATGATAAAAATTGTCAATTTCAAGGATGCAGGTCAGGGTGAGTGATTGGAAAGGGTAGATGTCAAGATGGGTTTTATCTGTACAGCTCTACTCCCCCTGGATTTGCATATGCCTCAATAGATTCTAAAGTCTGGCATAACAAGCTTGGACACATTTCCAATGAAAAACTTGCTATACTAATCAAAAATCAACAAGTAGATTGTTTTTTTAATAAAAATGTAAAAGACTCTGTTTTGAATCGTTGTAATAAAGAAAAATATAATAATATACGAGAGTGGCTTAGTGGAAGCTTGGTGGGCTCATAATCCACAGGTCCTAGGAAGATCGAAACCTGCCTCTGATAATTTAATAAATATTAAATTTGATTTTCTTTTTTAAAATTTAAATCCAGAAATATCAAAAATTTGGAGAGATTTAGAGCTTATCATTTATCAAACATCGTTCTAAATTTCATAACCAGTTCAATTATTTTGATTTCAAATCGATTCAATGCTCAGATCAGTTACACAGTCTTCTTCTCTTCATAGAGCTCAACAACGTGTTGAATCAACGCATTCAATTGATTCGTTGAAGACCCATCAATATCCATGGATTCATCCGCCATTTTTTTGAGCTTCAAAGCTTTCCTTCTCCTCATCACGGCCTCCTCCCCGTCACCCATCAACTCTTTCACAGCCTTAAGGAACTTCTCCCTTTTCACAGACACAACTTCCTCCCACCACCAAACAGGGTCCTTCACACCGACCATAACCCCTATTTCCAACACATCCACGATGAACCTCTCATTCAAGAATTGGTCTGAAAAGCTCGGCCATGTCACCATCGGAAGGCCGGCAGATATGCCTTCCAACGTAGAATTCCAGCCGCAGTGCGTCACGAATCCACCGACGGACGGATGGGAGAGTATCATCACTTGTGGAGCCCATCCTCTGATGACAAGTCCAGTGTCTTTGTTCCTCTCTTCAAATCTATTACTCTCCATCCATGACTCGATCTCGACGGAGTTAGTTTTGGGCTGAATGACCAAGATGAAAGGATGAGCAGAATCCATTAGCCCCAAACATATCTCGATCACTTGCTCCGACGATGTGCAAGACAGAGTTCCAAAGCAAACGTAGATCACGGATTTTGGATCCATGGAATCGAGGAATGTCGAAATTTCTGTCGCGCTGATGGATGATGATTTCAAACCACGGGTAGCTTTATCAGCCATATCTCTGTTGCACATCCCAACTGGTCCGACGGTCCATATATTTTTACCTTTTCTTCTCCGATAGATATCGACGTAAGTGGGTTCGATACCCATGCAAGTGTTCACTATTATCCCATCCGAAACGGAATCTCCTTTCTTCCATAGTTTTTGAAGCTCAGCGTCTCCATAAAAAAATACGTTTGCTTGCTCTCGAACCAGCTCGATCCGATGAGGAATCTCCGGCACTACAATTTGATCCCCTTCCCAAGTAGTAGTCAGAATCTCAGTACATGCAAGTGTGAAACAGGGCATGCAGTAGAAAACGAATCTCGGAATGTTAAGCTCCGTTGCAAGCTTGGAAGCCCACAAGAAAATCCAATCGGAGATGATGCAAAGTGGAAGACGACACTTCTCGTTTTTCAAGTATTCCATCAAGGGTTCCTCCAATAAATCAGCTATCTTGAAGAACTTCATCATGGCTTCAGCAGAAACCAAGGAATCCAAGTTGTCGCACTTCTTCTGTTGTCCGCCGTCTTCTATCAAAGGAAACACGTCGAGTTCGTGGAACTTCAGAGGGAGTCCAGTTTGCAAAGCGTGGTCGGCGGTTGACTTGAACCGCAACGCATTTTGAGGTGTGGTGATGATCGTCGCATTCATGCCACGTTCGGCGAGTAATTTTCCCAGGTCTACCATTGGATTCATATGTCCGGGAGACATGAATGGAACCAGCACGAAGTGAATTGGATTGTTGGAAGATTTCGTCAGTCTCTCCATGGTGACTTTCTCTGTTTATTATCTGACGAGCAAAGTTTGATTTTTATAACCAAACAATGATATTGACATCATTGAATTTTATAGTTTTTGTGAGGTAGATTGACATGTGGTCCTGTGGACATGTGGTGAATGGAACAAGAATTCTTCCCCTTTTTCGAAAGTATACGAAGTTAACTAATCCTAAAATTTACTGTTAAAAATTTACCGATATCGGTTCACAGAGAAGAAAAAAATCAGTTGGACAATGTTAAAAATTAATCCAGCCAATAGAAACGCTCTTAGCTCTTAGTAAGATAGAGTAAAAAATGTTTTTTCTATAAAAGAAGAATATATATAATTAGTTAATTGGATAATAGCTGAAAACTATATATATCGGGTACAAGACATGCATGGTTATCTTTGATTCTGTGGTTAACAAAGTGCCTATAAATTTATATGGGGTGGAAGGAAATGTATCCCATGGGCCCAAATGATCCTTTCTAAAGTGGAAGAGGGTCTAGGGACTAGGGGTTAGAGACTTACTTATTATCACTACTGCAAAGTCTGCAATCAATATTAAATGAGCTTCAAAATACTTAGATAAGACTATAAGAGTGATTCTATTTTGGTAAAATAGATCCATGATAGTTATATTAATGGATCCATGATAGTGATTCTATTTTGCTTATTATGCATACTGAAAGATAAATCTAAAAGTCATCTTTCCTTCAACTGTTATTATTCCAGATCTCTTTTAATTTCGTTGATTGAACACCTGAATTTTGTTTTATGAGAAATAATGAATATTTCAGTTTCCACCTATTTCAGACATTAGATTATGAGATCTGAGACTGTGCAAAAAATTACGCATCACTCTCCCCCTTGGGGGCTACTATGAAATGTTATTGTGTGTTTGTCATAACATATTTGGACAGAAATAAACAAAATATATATACAATACGTTAGTAGACCTCCTAAGGTAGTTTTTAAAGAAGTCATTAAAGACATCAGTCTCTCCTTTAATCCGGAGTGTTACAAGAAGAGTTGTTGTCACCCTTTGAAGACATCTATAATAGAAGTATTGAAGACCAAACTTCTGAGACGGTGTATTTAGTTACTATATAACTAAATAACATAACTTATAGAAAAGGAGGGTCAATGAGTTTTTTTTTCATTTCTTTTACTCTTGTCTTTTTATTTTTATACTCTATCTAACTTGAACATTGTCTTTATTTTTATAAAATTTAATTACTTTTTAAAAAAATCTTATGAATTATACATTTACCTAAACCTGATAAATCACATAAACGACTGACATGATTAATTTTTTTATCAACACGAATACGACATTATTATTTTACCTTTATTTCATAGTTATTATTTTATGAATATAATATTTTATATAGAACTTATAAGTTTTTCATAAAAATATTATTTTACCCTTACTACATAAACGATAAACATAATTAATTAATAATATTATATTTTCGTGTTATCGTGTCGTGTCAACTTACGTTTCGTATAATCGTGTCGTATTTTTAAAGACAAACACTAAACCGACACTATTATTAATCGTGTCAAAACTTTAAACATTAACCCGATACTATTATTACGTGTCGTGTTTTTTTACGTGTCACTTTTAGATTTTCAAATTTTTTAATTAAAACGTAATTATTTACAAAATACTTAATATATAATAACAGAGACGATTCTAGTGAAAATCGGGTATATATGAAAACTCTGTGAGAATCAAATCACGACCGTTGAAATGTCTACATGAGGATCTTCACCCTTAAATGATTTAAATAATAAACAAGATGCAAAGTTCTAATATAGTTCTCATTTTTATGGTTCTTACAAGACCCTATAATAACAATAGCAAAGATAAAAAAAGCAGTTTTAGTAAATAAAAATTAATGTAACTTTTTTATTTTATCATTACATACATTAATAAAAAGCGTGGTGGGTGCCTGGGTGGTCCATAATTTACAGGTCTCAAGATCAAAATTCAAAACCTGTCACTGATAACTTTATTATTTTTAAATTTTAGGCATTCCACGTCACCTCTCATTAGTTCTAACTTCTATTTTTACATTTCCAAGAGAACTAAAATATAGATTTTCTGAAAATATCTTGTCGGTTGCTCTTATTATTTGATTTATTATTATTAGAACATTAGTAATTTCACTCCACTCCAAATCGATATTTCATTTTTTTCTTTTCTTCTAAAACAGAGCTTCTAATTGCAGAATGCGGACCGACAATTATAAGTAAGGACGTAAGGTTATATTACTATTTTCGCTCATTATTCTAATCTTTTAACCCTACATTTTTTCAAATATCTTTAATCTATTAAAATACCTTTGTCATGTCATTTTAATGCATATAATATAATTTTTCATATCAAGTTGTTTTTTAAAATACATAATTATAAAATGTATTAGCTTTTGTATCATATATGGAAACGATTCAGGATTTTGTATCATAATTTTATTTGAAATGATTCTCAGTTTTTTCTTTTCTAAAACTTGAGTTAATTTTCTAATCAAATAATCTTTTCAACTTTAATTTCTACTTTAATTATTTCACTATTAGTTCGATTGTTAAATTTGTCATTTTTTGAAATTTTACTTTCAAATTAAATAAACAGGTATATCTAAAATCAAACAGTTTCAGATGCGGTCGGATGGATCCCATTTGGCATCCAACATCGGTAGTTAGGTATCTCACCTCATTGTCAACGAGGATCGCAATAGTCCCGCCATCGATTTTACATGCTTATTGTTTAGAGCAAAAAAGACATTGTGAGTTATGACATGGTAAAAAAATTAAAACTCACATAAAACAAGGTGTATAAATTTGTATATTCAAAATCTTTTTTTATTTTCAACCATGAATTAAAAATTTGAGACGATAAATATTCTAATTTGACAGCTTTTTATATATTGAGTTTTGATAAAATAAGCTTTTAATTTACTTTTTCTGAATTTAAAAAAACAGAGATATTAAGAAAAATTTCATGTAAAAACAGAGATTTTTGGACAATAAAAAATAGAAAATCCTCAAATATAACCTTTTGTTAATGAACAGAAATTTTTAAAACTAATACAATCTTTTAATTTTAAGATTTTTTATTCAAATTTAAATGCAAAATAAATCTAGAAATTTTTCTTAAAAATTGGTAGGGCCGCGCGAACGCGTACCCCCAAAGAAATAAATTATGACGTACACTCTCCCACTTGGGGAGACGTTAGGTTAATACCTTTCCAAAGTGCAATGGAAATCATCAACCTAGGCCATGACCCTTTTTGATCAACCATAGACCCCGTCCAGGTAAGTAATTTATTCATCGAAGGTACGTCTCTATTTATACCCAGCTTCTCCCATTTTCATATCAT